GCAGCACGCAGCAGCAGCACACCGATCACCAGCCTAAGCAACAGCAGAAAAAGCGGAGGCAGCAACAGCAGCAGCAGCACAAGCAGCAGCAGCAGCAGCAGCAGCAGATGAATTACTGCATGCACGCAGAATGGCAGCGGTCTCCCTTGCGCCCCTTGAAACCCAAACTGCTGCTGCTGCAGCAGCTGCAGCAGAAACTCTGTCGTATGGTGCTGCTGTAGCGGCTGAAGATGCAGCAAATGCTGCTGCTTCTGCCTCTGCTGCTGGTGCTGCTGCTGCTGTTGCTGCTGCTGCAGCAGATCGGGTCCCCCCAGCCGCAGCAGGAAGTGGCGGCACAGCAGCACCATGAGTAGCTCGCTCTTGCAGCGTCCTGCTGCTGCTGCTGCTGCTGCTGCTGCTGCTGCTTGCACAAGCTCTGTGTCCTCTAGCATGTGCTGCTGCTGCAGCACCTGCAGCAGCTGCTGCTGCAGCTGCTCCCACTCTGAAAACCTGAGGCCCCCAACAGCAGCTCGGGTGTACAGACAGCTTATTGTGTTGCAGCTTGATTGTATGCCAGCCCTTTGCCTCTGCAGCTGCTGCTTCAATCTTTGCTGCAGCTGCTGCAGCATATGCTGCTGCCGTTGTTGTTGCTGCTGCTGCTGCTGCAGGGCAGGACCCACTGCTTGCGCAGTCTGCAGCAGCAGCAACGGAGGCAGCGTCTCCACTTGCTGCAGCAGCGCAGCAGCAGCAGCACGTGCCGTTGCTCCCCGCAGCAACCCGAGTAGACTGAGGGCAGCAGCAGCTCCTGCTGCTGCAGCAGGACTCAGCTGCAGCAGTAAATTAGGGTCTTGCTGCTGCAGCAGCAGCTCGAAGTGCCGCACAAACGGCAGCTGCTGCTTCGTTTTTAAAGGCAGAGGTGCAGCAGCCAGCTGCTGCAGCACGGGGACTACGCCCTGCAGCCACAGAAAGCTAACAGAGACACCCCAATCTGCGGCTGCTGCTGCTGCTGCTGCTGCATGCTGCAGCAGCAGCAGCGCCTCATTGGAGATGCACAGCCAAAGCTTCCGGTGGTTTTCGTAGGCATCTTTAGGTGAACCCCAACGTTCTGCTGCTGCTGCTGCTGCTGCTGCTTCCGAGTTTGCTGCTGCAGCACGGAGAGACAGAAGCAGCAGCTGCTGCTTCAGGGAGACACCGGAGAAGACAAAAGTAGAGGAGACACACGACGCGCTTCCAATTCGCTCTGGGTTGCTGTCGTTGCTGCTGCTGCTGCTGCTGCTGCTGTTGCTGATGCTGGGCCTAAAGCCGTTGCCACAACCTATCAGGCTCTGCTGGTTGCTGCTGCTGCTGCTGCTATTTTTGCTGCCAGTGCTAAAGTACCTGTTGCTGCTGCTGCTCAAAGAGAAGCAACTGCTGCTGCTGATAAAGTGGTAGCTCGTGCTGCTGCTGCTCGCAGGGCAGCCAGCGCTGCCGCAGCACCTGAGGGAAGCAGCCGTAGCGGCAGCAGCAGCAGCAGGGAGGGTAGCAGTAGAAGGAGCAGGACCAGCAGCAGCAACAGCAACAGCAGCAGATGCTGCTCTCTGCAGCATCTCGTTGCAAGCCCGTGGACTGCAGCCCTTCTGTACACCAGAATATCAAGGAAGTCCTCAGCAAAAAGCAGAAAAAACAAAAAAACAAAACGCTGCTTGTACACCCGAAGGGGGGCCCCCAGGTGTATCGACAGCTCCGCAGCAGCAGCCGACAGGGGGCCCCTGAAGGACGTATAAGAGAAAGAAAGCAAATAAAAATTTTTGTAATTCAAACCGCAAAGAAATAATAAAATAATATATATTTTATATCTTGTCTTAATTATAATAAAGAAACAAGAAAGGAGTCAAACAGATTAACAACCTCTGTACCCCTCCTTTACGCATTTATAGATATCTGTATATATTTATACATATATATATAATAAATATATGCAGGTATTCAGATTAAAGCATATAAATTGAGCAGATAAAGCAAAGAGAATGCACTTAAAAAGAAAAAGAATAAAATAAAATAAATAAAATAAATATGCAAGTAAAGAAATACAAACAAACCAGGCGGAGTAAGGGCGTCTAGCTCAAATGGTAGAGCGCTCGCTTAGCATGCGAGAGGTAGAGGGATCGATACCCTCGTCGTCCACTTCTATAATAAAATGTATATTTAAATCTATTTTATTTATGTGTTGTCAGCTTTATGCACCTCTAAATCTATTACTCATATATATTTTCTATTTTATTATCTTCAGATACACAGAGCTATGTGTGGTGTATCTGGTGTTGCCTTCGGGTGTATAGGCAGCTCCACCATTAGTAAATTGCACATATATATAATACTTTTTCTCGTGTTTCAGCTATATCAATAATAAGACAATAACTAAAATTAGGGTTTGTTTATAATCTCATAACCCTTTTATAATTCTCTTTTTAAATAAAATGAAGAGCGCAATCTTTGTTTAAAACATTTTGAGGTGTACATACACCTCAAAGTGCGCCTTTTG